GGACCATCACACACAAAATAACAATAACTACATATGCATAGCATAAGACCGTCTCGACCAATAAGCATGCTATGTAAATCAATATGGCGCCTTTATGCTAGATGTTCATTGGTCGAGACGGTCTTATGCTATGCATATGCAGTTATGTCATTTTGTGTGTGATGGCCTTAAGGATTGATCCAATTTATTTTCTTAGGCCGAATTTCCACTAAGCGCGTCATGCGTCGCGTTATCCGCCGCGTCACGAATTAACCAATCAAAACATCCCATTTTATCGCATCATGTGCCGCGCGATTCCTTGCGTGACGCATCGGTTCTGTTGCTTGACATTCTAGAGACAAAAGATTCTTCCTTTGTACGAAATCTCAGATCGCGCGCATTTGTTATGAGACAGGTCACAGAAAATGTAACAATATTCGTAAGTTCCAAATTATTATTTAATACTATTATTAAATAATTATTGGCTTAGTTTACATCGATTGTTTAGTACGCGTACCAAGTACTAAATCTGCTTCTCCGATAGATATAAATCGTTTAGTGTAAAATCTATATGAATCAAAGAAGCAGATTTAGTACTTGATACGCATACTAAACAATCAGTGTAAACTAAGCCATTATTTTCTACTATTACTTTTTGTCTCCTTACGGCGACGCGTTCATTGTGAATAAGAACGACGCTATTCTTCAGCTTACCTCGCGTCGCGTCGTGACGCAAGTCATGACGCGACGTGTGACGCGCTCAGTGGGAATTCGGCCTTATGCACATCTGGATATACCCTAAAAAAAAACTAGAATGAGTCACGTGATTAGTAAAGATTTGCGCTAAATTTAAATTAATACACGTGTGTGCACATAGACACTTATATATTTCTTTCTTTTATTGATCAATATTATTGTTATTAATAATTAAATTTTTTTATAATCTATAGCATCCATTTTATATTAATTAGAATACAATTTTTTTCTACTTATTTTATCGCCAATGGTTATCTAACTTTTTGATTGATATCTTTGATTGATGTCTTATTGAGAATGTATTATTTGTATAATTGTATAAGTTTTGTATAATTTCATTAACTTAATAGACTAAATTTTTCTACTTTGTCAATTTCGTAACAACAGTATCGTTATCATTGCACGTGTTATACTGATATAACATACAAGTTATATCTGTAATCATATGTAATGACAATAATACCATTTTTAAAAAGATAAGTAAATTTATAAATAAACCAGAAGGAAATTTTGTTATTTTATTCCTCCATGAAATAAATGTACAAAAGTAAAGGAATATTTGCACCTTTATTGTCAGCAAACTGCAATCGTACTTCATACTTATAAATAATACATTCCCAATCATATAGCGTTTTCGATTATACAGGATTTGAACGACCCAAGATTGGTTAATGACGTCATTGCAACCTCTCCACCAATGAAAGACTTGCATTTATAGTAAAATAGTTATTGATCAACCCTAGATCGTTCAAACCCCGTTTATTCGAAAACGCTAATAGTCACAAACACATTATAGGCGTGGTGTGCTTTTAATTAATTTTACAATTCTATCTTCAAAAGTTTAGTTCGTTGAAATTAATCGAATAAAATAATTATTGTGTATATATGTACATGTAGATTTACATGATTGATAATAACAAAATGATATTTCAGTCATTCGCAAGTTAGTGTTAAATGATATGTAAAACTGTACGATCAACTACACAACCAATAAGCAATATATTCTTTTATTTTGTATATTATAGGAAAGATACTTTGTAGTTTTAGAAACAGAGAATGATTCTTTCTAGAATAATTAATTTAAAAGTGAAAGTATTCTGCATTATACATTTATACATACCACAGATAAAATAAATTTATACTCTTACTGTTTGGTTGATATAAACAATAGTAAAACTTTATTTGCCACAATTAATACTATTTAACCAGGATAAGAGTTATGTACACCGTTTCCGTGTACTAACACGTTGTGTGCTATACAATAAATAATTTTTGCGTACCTTTATACGCCAACAAGACGTAAAATACAATTCGATTTACATTGACGGCGTTTTATGTTATGCAGGGAATACATGCAAACTTTTTCTTTATATAAGACTTTTAAATATACATTTAACATAATTCTATTTTTATTTATAAGCTTATTCGTAAGTATAACTATTTACCAAAACCACGTTCTTATATTATTGGTGAAGAATGCCATAAAACAGCGTAATTAATAATCAATCGTTGCTCTGCAGTGTCGAAAGATAACACTACACGGAAGTATATGCAAGCATAATATATTTCCGAATTTCAAAACTCATTCATATTCTTGTAATTGTAACAAAATGATATACTGTTAAAATCGATTCAAGTTTTGTATATTTATTACTTTCATATACGTAAAACAAACATTTAGAGATGTACGCATTACATCCAGTTTTTGGTAATGCTTTCTTTTAGCAATTAAAATATATAAAATATATAATTTGTTTTATCGAAATGGCTTTTCGCACCGTCTCAATGTAAGCGAGAAGAAACTTTCGGAATCGCAATATCTCACATCATTTAATAATAATTACATATCTGGTACAATTGTATTAAAAATATAACTAAATATGTAATTATATAATAATGCTTTATCCGATTAACAAGCAAGTCAGTCGGATTATTCACAAGCGTATTTCTCCAAAATGTATATTTTATGTAAGACCACTTCTTCTATGATTTGGTACTGTAATTCTTTTTAATTATAAAATTATTGGAATTGCATGGATTTGATAAGACATTTCGTGAATAGACTTACAACTAAACTCCAAATGCATGTTAGAAACTGTATCGTACTGCTGTACTTTTACGTAAGCATGGATACAATGTGCACCGTCATTACATATTGTAGAGTAGAATAAAACTAACGAAAAATGGCTACAATGAAGTATGCTATATTATTATTTGCCACTGATTCAGTTTAGCATTTTGTAGAAAATCTTTTGTACATATATAAAAACATTAAAAGATACGAACGTCCGTTTCTGATCGGAAGTTGAACGCTCAAAGAAAGTCTTCACCACTAGGCGTAACCACTAGGTTCCAAAATGTTTATATGCTTTCAGCTTGATTAAAAACCAGCATTTTGCCTTTTTATCCGATTATAGTTATGAAGTAATAAAATATTCGACCAAACGTCCAGAAATATATTCATGAGCGGTAATTTCAAAAATTTCCGTAACAACAATGTGTGCGTAGTGTGCTTTCCAAAGGGTTCTGTCTCCAATGTAGGATCAAGTGGTCAATCGCTCTTGGACTTTTCGGCAGTCTCGCTACGATCTGTTTCTGATTTTGTTTCAGTTTCCTGTTGGCTACCCTCATCTTCCTCGTCCGAGTAATTTGTAGGTGCTTCGCCAGGCTTTAATAATTTTCCAACATAATCGTATCTCTCTGTAATAAAACAAAAAACACATAAATAGAACAATTTTTAATAATTTCTTCATAACAAATAATTTTTTATGACTAAACATCGCTCTTTAGATCATTCGGTTATGCTTCTAATATTTATTCTAAATTCTTATATCCGTTTATAGACACTGATTGACACATGTATAAAAAAAGCCTTGAACTATGCTCTCATTCATTATTCATGAAAGCTTTTGTGTGTCGATTTATTGGTAAAGTTTATTATCATAACTGGGTGAAATAAGAATAAATGAGTACAATAAGAATAAAAATATTATATTTATGTAAAGTATAAAAATTTGTCTTATCTATTTACTTCAGTTAATAAAAAGCATTGCATCAATATGTATATCTGCATTATGTGCAAGATTATTCCAATTTTACGATTCATTTTTTACATGTAAATTGCATACATAAATTAATGTATAACGCGGTGAACAACTTTATCTCCTTTTATTTTCTTTCCTTTTTGAGAGATCAACAAAATAACAAAATTAATACTTAAAATATGTCAATTCACTCACCTTTAAATTGCTCTTCCCACTCCTTGATAGAATTCATTTCTGTAGTGTTCAAATCACTTAAATCATCATATTTATCTGTTGCTGCCTCCACTGCGAATCTTGCAAGAGCTCTGCTAGCATCTCGACCACCAAATGCTTCATATGGTCCACCTGTGCAAATAATATATTTAGATATCATACCCTAAAACATGTTTGCAATAATTGTACAATTAAATATTTTTTATTCTTATTAGAGATTATTAATACAATGAAAAGTAAAAATGCAAGTACGTGATATTTTTTCTGTATAAAACAATTTAAATATGTTATATATACCTGTGCAAACATGATTTATTTAACTTATAACATTATCATTTGGCTGGATCAGCTCATCATTTCATTAAACATTTTTGCAATTTTCGGATTTGAACGATGTATCCACCCACTACATATTTAGACATCTTTCCCGGTTTAGATGTGACGTGTTAAAACTGCTATCGTCGTCGGCCGAGGCTTACATTAGTGGAGCAAAAGAGATACAATTGGACGTGACGATCGCACGGCTTTCGCGATTTTATTTTTGCGCGTATGGTGTATGATATCATCGCGGACACTCCTTCGAACCGCAAGCTAATAAAAAACATCTAATAAAGCGTGCGCAAAAAAGAGAGACGGAGCAAAGGGATAGAGAATCAAGCTGATTCTCGTATGAACGCGGAAAAATTTTGCTCGATCTCTGATGTGGCAAGAAATCGATGATGAGAAAGAATTGAGCCATCGACGATGTCGAAAAACTCACCAGGGCCGTAGAATCTGCTGCCTCTGGTGACGTCGTACACGCTGCCATTCACGGCAACCAATATCCGCCCATCCGGGCCTTTTCCATCGTACTTGGTCAGCTCCTCAATTGTGAAATCGCGCCGTAGCTTTGGCAGTTTCTTTATTTCCTGCACAGGCTCCTCGGTCCTCGTGCGGCTCTTGACGATCTTGTAGACAAGGATGGCGATCACGCCCACCAGGGCGAGGTTCACCGGACTCCTAACGATTTCGCTGATGAAACTAGACAGAAACTGCTGCTGCTGCGATTGCTGTTCCTGGGCCGTAGCCGCAGCGGCCGGCGAGCCGCTCTTCTCGGCCATTTTGATGAAACCGACCTGCCGAGCGGTCGAGGAGCCGAGAGGAAGACGCGAAGTTGTATGCGAGTGGTTATGAACGCTACGCGTCGATCGAACTTCGCGTTCTTTCCTTCACGTGTAAATGCGCTCGTGAATACGTGCCACAACACGTTCAATGGAATGCCGGAGCAGTAACGACAATCGAAAAAGTCTAATCGCCGAGAATCACGGATGGATATTGCCAACGAGGCGCCGTTCACGAACCAAACAACTCGCACGCACGATTATCGCACGACACTAACGATGTATACCGGTGCGCATTGCGTACCAACACAACGTCGATGAAATGTAGCTATGCACACAGCGCGCGAATACGTGGCTGTATCGCGGTGGCGCGTCGCAGGGTCGTATACATCGATCAATTTGACGCGAGATTTTAGGTAAGTTAAGAATCGAGAGACTTTTTACCTGAAAAGAAGAACATATTTCTGAGGTGGACAATAATTATTTTGATCTTAATGAAATTTGTAACAATACATTTTATCATATAATTTTTCTCTCGATGCGTGTGAAATTTATCTATTTGAAAACAAGAAACCTTTGAATCAAAGCTAATACATTGAATCTAATAATACACTGATTACAAAGTATAAATGCTTCCTAAGCTCTTCAATATACTCGTCCATTACGTAATTCTTACTGGAGATAACATTGTTTTTAATATTGCAATGATAATTGTAAACGCGAATTTTTTTTATATAATGATTTAGAACAAAATCATTTGCATTATTTGTCATTTATTTCTTTTCTGTCGTATTCCAATATCTATGCGTTTTGTCAATTAGATCGCATATCGGTAGATTTACTTGTGCATAATTGCTGGTTTTTCTACGATGTCTGGAATGTAGTTGGAATGTACCGTTTCTGCTCTCGCCTTTTCTTCCGTGCGAGAAACAGTTATTTCATGTGAAAAAAGGTCATAGGAGAAGTCGATTGGGAAACTGTTTGAGACCGTTATCTTTTTTACGAAATTTATTTTACGAAAATAATTGGAATTTAATGAGGAAATAGGAAGTCCGGATTGATCAAGTATGGAAGTTCCGTTATATATTGCAAAATGCTTGTCGTCTACATCTACATCAAACTTTATAAAACCAACAGGTCATTCTGCGTGTCGATTCTTCAAAGTCATGCTGCGCGAAATCACGTGTTTCTGATATGTCTATTGCGTAGAAGCGCAAGAACTACACGATTACGTTAGGTTAGGTGAGACTGTAATTATGACAGTCATAAAACCGAGATTTATTATTATTATGATTATGATGGATCTTTGTAGGTTTTTATGTCAAGTGTGCATTATGTAATGCATTAATGTTAAACGCAGTTTGCATGTCATTTTAATCTGAATATTCTGAACGGGTTATATTTGTTATAATTATAAACACAGATTATTGATATGGCAATTACTAAAGTATTGCAAATTTTATTTCGAATATTCGTTGGATGCGCGATTTTATTTTATCTACATTAAAACAACTCGCGCAGTAAATAAAACTTAATTTTTTTGTACATACATATACATGGCATTTGTTATTTCATTAATCTACTTGTACTCGAATAAATTGTACTCATAACGGACGGCACTGTTACATCGAGAATACTGACGCTTTATGATTTTCAACTCAATGGGAATATTATACTTACTACTGCTATTGTTTGCAAACGCAAACTGTATAACTATCTGGTGTCTGCTTAAGGCACACAATAAAAACAAGGCACCTTTGAATTTGTGCAGCATAGATATAGATGTCTATAAAAGATTATTTGTTCCCTAGTTTGTGGGAATCTAAACAACTTACAACTCTCCTGTCGTATACATTGCTAAATGTATTCTATGTCTAAATATAGAAAAATTATGCCTTTATGATGATTTTTTCCTCTTGATAGTCAAGATATGGATAGATATCAGTGATGGACGATACAGCTTCAGGTAAAACCTTTGCTGAGCACATTGGACAAATTTCTTCAGATTCAATGATTCTGTCAAATAACAAAGTACATTGTAATTATCTACGTTTATCTTACGTAATATGTATGTGTGATATTTACCTCAGAAATTCACTTCTAATGGCAGGGAAATCACATTGGGGACACACTGCAAAATCATCCTCCACGATATGTCGTCCCTGTAGACACAGAGTAATGATAGAAATAAAAGAATCTCATCGGTGTTTCTCTTCTTTAGATAGCAATAAAATCTTTTACCGTCGCGATGCAGAAAGGTATGGTATTTTTGCATTTATCACAGGTTACTTCCGTCTCCGGAACTCTACTCTTGCAGTATGGGCACGGTGTGAGGGGCTCATCCTCGTTCTCAATATCTTTCGTTCTCGGCGGTTTTCTCACGATCGCTTCGATCTTTTTGCTGTACTTCACGTCGACTTGCCCACGATACTCGGGACGCATTAGCATAGCGGCAAAATTGAAAGCCGCGTTTTTCAAGCCCGCTCTATGGCATTCTATCACGGTTGACGTTAATATTGGCACGATGTCTGAAATATAAAGACATGTATTCGTTATATACGCCGAAACAGTATACAACACAATGTAATTTATTCGTGTTAATTGCCACGAGAGCTTTTGTTGTACTCACGCGATGGAAATTTCGATATGTTGTTGGCTACTCTTATTAGCATCCGGGCGCCTCGTAGATGATCACTTCTCTTCACGTGTAATCTCACTAGAATATAAGAATGCAAGAGTCTTAAATTGGTTTGCATCTCTAAAGGTATGGCGATCTTATTCCTTTTCAATTCTTGGTACATTCCAAACAGGACGTCGTGAGCGTTTCGGTAATTTCCTGAAATAAAAAGATCATTGCAATATTGGTTACACATTTCGGATACGTCGATACGTACCACTAATTTGCTCCTCATTCGCAATTATAATCGCTGTTTTAGCTGCTTCTTTATATTGCTTTCGAGCCATGTACAATCGGAATAGGTATTTTGGATCCTGGGAAAAAAAGAGATATTAGAATTCCTTATATAAAAGTTACGAAACTATATATAACTCAAACACGAAAGATAGTCAAATGAAATTTAAATAACAATATTTGAATACAATAGTAACCTTTGGCAACCCGTCGCTTCCTAATAAAAAATCTATTAATTGATTGGCTAATTTATCATCCTTAGATGATGCGACAGTATCTATGGCATAAGTAATCGCTTTATCATCGTCCGGTACTAGTTGCGCAGCTTTTAACAAATGTCGCATGGCCTTAAAAAAATCACACTCGTTAAAAAATCGATATTAAAATCGAATTCGGGAACTTATATTATGGCCAACTAACTTTCTGATACTCTTTGGCGTGGAAGTAATATTTTCCGGCTAGAAGATTATTTTTCTGAGACTCAAAATGCATCGCGAGACTCCTAAAGTCTTCCCTTCGAACGTTAGTGTCATCGATCGTGTTCACCAAGATTTCTCCATACAATTCCATTTTGCCGTGCTGATTGGCTAGTTGAAAGGCTTCGTCGTGACAATTTGATAAAATTAGGAATTTGATAGCTGTATTGTAATCATTCATCTTTTGGAAATATTTCGCGACCATCTTCGCACCTTCTATACTCTTGGTTTGTTGAACAACTTCAACGCTACGAGCTACAAATAGAATAATATATAATCAAACATAGAATATAATCAAGTATATCTCTCTCATTTTGCTAAGATGCATTTTAAAAGTGATGAACAAGATGTGTTTACCGGGATTGTTCAAATGTTCCAGATTAATTCTAATTATGTTATCGTAATCCTTGGCGGTTTCATATGCTTTCGCAGCTTCCTCGTATTTGCCCTCCGACTCTTTGGCTTTAGCGTATTGTATGTTAATTTTTGCCGACGATATTTGCGGCAAAAGCTGCCCCACTTTGTGCCAGTTCTTTAACTTTATGTACGCAGAAGCAGCTTTGTCGAAGTATTCAGATCTCTCGTATAATTGGGCAGCTTCGCTAAATTGCTAAAGATTTACACACACATATATTTAAATAATACCAAAATACAATTAACACTTTGAGAGATCTTACGGATAAAAATCTACCTTCATCGATTCTAAAATCTCCGCACATTCTTTCCGTAATAATCTCGAGTTCTCGTTATCCATCGCTATACCAACGCCTTTTCTACTATCGCCGCATCTTATAGACATTCTCGCTATTCCCGCTAAACATTGGCTTCGGTGATTAGGATTCTGCGCAGCTAAAGTTGCTGAGGTGTTGTAATCAACCAGACCGCGTTCGTAATTTGTTAAAGCTTTCGGATAGTTCCCACTGCGCATGAAGAGACACATTTTATCGATTTACTTTTAATAATGGTTATTTGCATTATCTTTAACAGTGGATTACACTTAATAATATTAATAAATCTTACGTGAATTCCAACTGCTGGGCGTACTCTCTGGCGATAAAAGGGATTTCGTCGGGTTTTAATTTCTGTGCCAAACTCAACGCTTGTTCCCATTGCATTAAGTCTCTCCTTAAGTACAAAGCCTGGACGGGTTCGGACGATTGCAAAAAGTACTTTTCTGCTTCGTTGTAATCGCCAAGTAGTAAGCAAGCATGGCCACATAGCAATGCTATCTCGTCTATATTTTCCATACTTTGCAACGCCCACACCATTGCAGCATCTTCTATTTGCCGATACACGCGAATAGCTGTGCATAATAAATTCAGTATCTTGTAATTTGAATGTTTATAAATTAAATTTTATTCCGTGTACACATTAATTATATAACATTACTCTTACCAAATTCCACATTTAAATTTGCAATAGCGCTTTGACCCAGTTTTAGCCATGCATCTTTCTCGTTTAATTTCTCACAACTGTTCCACGCTTGTTGAAACCTAAAATATAAAAATGTTTTTTTTTTAAATATTGTTTTAGAGTTTTTTTTTTATTTTGTATGAAAACATATAATTCTTACCGTCTACACAAGATCTGATTATCGAAAATGTCGTTAATTTTTTTGGTCTCTACGATATTCCCAACATCTTCGTGGGAAGTTAATGTTATTTGTATTAATTTGCTGCCCACTGAACTCAACGTTATCTCGCCAGAATACATCAGTAAAGGAATTGAATCCAATGGCAATTTAGTTGAATTAATTTTTATTACCTTGGTACCTATTGGTGCAATTATGAACATGTAAGATTTTTTTTTATGGCAACGATGCACAATAAATAAATGGACACTCACCTTCAACGAAGTATTTTACAAAAATATACGTTACAATAACGCTTTTGTTGTATACTGCAAATATAGCACGTTCGAATATATTCTGATCCCAGAGAATACCGTCAATATTATCAGGATAATCTGGCACTGCAATGGCTGCTTCGTTTATCGGATCGAACACGTAAACATCTGACTTATTGTCGACGAAGCACAACTGTGTTCCATTCGCATCTAAGTATAATTCCTTTATTCCGTTGTTATGTATAAATTCGGTACATTGAGTGAACGTCTCCAAGTAAAAATAGACGATGTGACCCATCTAAAAATTCAAAATACATTCGTTGGTCTCTTCTCGTTTCAGTATTATTGAAAATTATCTGAGAGTGCTTCTGACTTACGTCATTACCGTAAACCAAGAAATCTGAACAGAGAGCGTGACACGTTATTCTACTATGGGAAGAATTTAAGTCTGGAAACATCTTTGTATCCTTTCCATTATTTATTAAAGTCTCATCGGATTTAATCTGCATATAAAATAGAACCAATAAATTTGACATTTTCATTATTGATTCAAAATTTATCAAATGTCAAGTCATTTGGAGTTTACGTGAGATTTATTATTCATTACCGAATGCAACTGTAGCTTCCCATCGAATAGCGCGGATACGTATATCTCATTCAAACGCATACTATCCACCGTAGCCAAATAGTCCCTCTCGAAATGTATATTGTTATAATGGCTCGTAGACAAATCCCAAAAAAGCGCTCTGTTGTTTAATCCTACTGCTAAATGCGCTGGACCTACTGCTAGTATGGCTGGTTCTATAATAGTGTTGATTACTTGCGGAGATGGTTTGTCCTGGAAAAATAAGTGCTGGTCGAAAATCCAAAGTGTTATTTTGCGCGATCATACGTTACCTTGTCTAATGTATAAAGATGTACAGCTACTTCCATCAGGCTTGTTAGTAACGCTATTCTGTTACCACAAACGCTGGTTAATTTTGGGATTTCTATTAAATAAATTAAGACATTGCCGGTGTAAGTAACAACTGCCAGCATAGTTCCATCCGTCGACCATTCGATATTGCTGATCCCACTTTCGCCGATTATCGTGATCTGTGTTTCGGTTTCTTCAAGATTTTGCAAACTGTGCACCTTCAGGGCATTATCGCCGCAAGTTGCCACCTTTCCGCCCACTTGACTCAACGCGATATCTGTCAAAGTATCTCTGTGGTTTTTAATTTGAAACAATTCTTGGCCAACTTCCTTTATATGCGTCGATATTGCTATAAAGAAGCCAGCTTCGAATCCTACCAATATGTAACCATCACCGTACCTGTAAAATATATATGCATTACAATCCATACACACGCATGCATTAAGAAGTACTTGCATATTACTGCACAGATAGTTACCACTTATAAGTTACAATTGATCCATAACGTTTCTGAAAAGCCAGTTCAATAGGATTTTCTGGGTCCAAAATGTTGTACAAGAATAACGTCGTTTTGCTAACGATAAGGGATACCTAAATTCATTTTCACATGTATAAGAATTATAGATTTGTGTTAAAAAAACATTTAACAAATGTTTTTATTTTCAAAACTATACCGTATTTTCACCGCCTATCCTATGATCCATCTTCATCTCGCTAAATTGTATATGTGACGGATCACCTTGAAGAGTTATCTCTCGACGGGTATCTCCTTCGCTTGTGCTGATACTTAAAACCTTATCCTCGCTCGCCAAGGCAAGAAGACCGTCTATTGACCATGCGCCGCATAAAATGCGTTTTTTGTGCTTTCCCAAAATAGGTATTCGTCTAGATTTTGCAATTTAAAATAAAAGTAATCTTACGTAATGGAATATTTTACATATTTCGTGATTAATTTCAATGAGGCTAATATCGTACCTGGCATTTATGTGATCGTAAAGCACTAAATTTCCTTTTTGGGTTCCTATTGCTAACAAACAGCTCTTCTTTGCCCACATCATACAGGTCAGTCCATCTCTTACACCTGCATCTATTTGAAATTTTTTGCCGGTTGTGGCGTCCCATAGTATTATAACTGATGAGTTCTGCGATGTTATTGCTAGGAGATCTCCGTCCGAGTCCCAACCGAAGCCAGTGCATAATCCAGAAATCTGTATTCGGTCTTGAATATCTCCTTGCCTATCGTAGATGGCAACTGTAGAATCACAACCTGTTGTGGCTAAGTGTGTGCTGTTTCCAGGTCGCCAAGAAATATGGACACTACCAGTGCCATGAGGTTGGTCTAGTTTATAAAGGACCTGTAATTAAAGAAAATTGAACATTTCTGTACAATGACACATGAGTGTGCAAAATAAAGTTTGTACAGTAGAGAATTAAACGTGACAAATATATGGATTTATAGATCGAAGCGGAATATATTTTCTCCTTTTCTTAATACTAATGTTGACATTTTTATTAAACAATTCCAAGTAAGATATAGCTGTCAAATGTAACATAACCTACCTTCTCCGACGACATTGTCACACGAAAAATTTGGTTCTGACAGAGAAATTGATCAGTCCATATATTTAAATAACATGTCTCTATAGCATTACGATATACATAGCTTAAATATTGATTTATTAGGCAGTGCGGTTCTCTCGTGCCGACATACCTTGTACATCGGCCATGTTGTTTACCTTTGCGTTTGCTTTCGCAATCAGTTAGAAATTGCATATTAATGAGGAAATTGCTAATTCTTTGTAGTTTGGGACGGTTTTTAAAAGATATATACCAACGATGATGTTAATTTGGGGCAATCGGTCATGTAAAAAGTACAATTTGCGATTGCCGATCTAATTACAAGATTTTTTAAAAAGCAAGAGAGAAAATGAACACAATACTTAAAAGTATAGGAGATACTATTTATTAAATTATAGAAAGATAAAAATGACATCGAGATGTAAAACATAAAAAACTTTGCGCATATAATTTTAATATTCAAAAATACATTATGAAAAGATATCTTAATCTGATTTTATGATATTTTAATCAGAATGCGTCAGCTTTACTTTACTTATTTTTGCAAAACAATTATTCGTCATCATATCCGTCAAGGAACTTAGAAAGCAACATCGCAGAGTTATAGAAAAGTAAATGCCGTATTAACGAGACACTTCAAAATATTTTACAATTTTACAAATCATAACTTTTGTACTTCAAACTTGCATCCAAAATTGACATAACTTTGGACATACGCAAATTATGATGTGTAGAATTAGCACTGTGAAGTGTTTTGCTAATGCAGTATTTATTTTCTACTTAGTTAATTATATTTTACATTACATATTTCTTCAATTCTATTCAATTAATTATAGTTTACATGTTTCGACACTGTTTTGAATCAAAATAAAAATGTTGACAGTTGTTCATTGATTGAAAAAATGTAAACTCTCGCGATTACATTCGGATTCGCACATTGCTTCGTTTGGAAAATTTTATTTGAATGTCACTAGTCTACGGTGAAGCCTTCGGTTTCAATTCGTCATAACATGGTCTCAAGAAGATCTGGTTTTTCTTCGCCGGATTAAAGTATTCGTGTCCCTGAAACATTTACAAATCCTCTCAATATTCATATAAATATACGATCTAAGGATTATTGTACTTTGAGCGACTAATAATAGTATTATGAAAGATATCTTAATTTGATTTTATGATATTTTAAAATGCGTCAGCTTTACTTTTGCAAAACAATTATTCGTCATTATAATATTTGTTAAAGAAAGCAACATCGCAGAGTTATAGTAAAAGTAAAAGTACCTTAGACCAGTCGTAAGAAACAGCATACGCGAATATCTGTCCATTATGATTGAAACAGCAACGTATGATGGGTTGTTCCATTGTTTCCGAGGACTTCAGTTTAGTACGTGCATCCTTGTCCCAAAAACCGAAAGTGCCATCACCACCCACGGTTGCTACAGTACCGTGTACTGGATGGAATGCTATATCATTGACCTGTTTTTAAATCAAAGATTACAAAAATGAAGTGTTGCATTTAACAGAGGACAGTTTTTTTCTATAAAAATAAACATTAGCGAATTAGTGATTATTTTAACATCTACCAACCGCATAGATATCCTGATATCCATTGGGCGTGCCATTTGTTCTGTGACATTTAAATGTGAAGTTTTCTTTTGAACTAAGATTCAAGTGATGAATCGCAACGCGTCCCTCTGTACTTCCTATTGCAAAACCAGTCGGTACTTTCTTCTTGTCCCTGAAAATCGCCACGCAACGATACTGATATTTCAAGCTCAATTCCACAGGTTTGTATTCGCGTGGACTGCCCTCCAGTTGATAGACTATTAAACCACGCGAAGCTGTTCCCACTACTGCCATTGGATAATCCTGCAATATATTATTGACATAAAAGATATTATATGTTAAGAGTAACGTATTTTATTGCATGTATATATATGTACTTACCACATCTGCGCAATAACACCGTTCAGGTAAATTGATGGTCATTGCAGGTTTAGGACTGCGCAAATCCCAGAACTGAAAGTTTCATGTGATTGAAAAAAATGTAATATTTTAAGCGTTTTAACGATAAAAAAATTATAAAAAAATGAATAATAAATTGATTTAATGATTGAAAGTATTATAAATATTAACCCTCAGCGTTTTATCCCAGGAACCAGTCATGAGACAAGAGTATGTAGTTGCCTTTATCCAGTGACATGTTCTAATAGGTGCTTCGTGGGCTGCCACTTGCACACATTGATTTGTAGCCAGATCCCAGCATTTTGCTGTTTTGTCACAGCCCGCCATAAATACTTTAGTCCCATCCTAATAATTCCAATAATTTAATATTACATAAAAATTAAGGTGACAAGAGTATATACTCTCTAATATAAATATTGCATTATTTATTATCAATTATAGAAACAATGCGTATATCTATTATAAAATTAATTTAATCAGCACTATCATTTTTCTTAAAAATTATATGACGAATAGAAAGAAAATATATTATATATTATTTTAACTGTTTTCATTTATGAGATTTTTTCTGCTGATTGTGTTATATATAAAATGGCATAATAATAAAAGGATAGATTAACCTACATCACTCCAGCATACATCCAAAACCGGCGCTGCCATGCTTTGCATGGATTTAGGTACCGTCTTGCCGGACTGCTCGACTTCCCAACATCGAACATTGCAATCCCAGGAACCGGCTACTAAAAAATTCTGCGGGATGGATGCCGGACTGAACGCCAGGGAGGAGACAGAATCGTCCGGCGGCGAAACCACTTCAAAGTCCTGCATGGGATTTGACGCGTTTGATGTTCCCGTCCTTAATGTATTATTTTGATTAAACATTTTTAATTGACCTGACTTTACGAAAGACTCGCAATCTGAAAAAATTCAAGCTGATTAACGAAAATAGGTTAACTTGTTGCGCATTAGTTTGAAATATACATGTTTCTTACCTTACAGTTCACGTCATACACGGAATAACGTAATTTTTACGTCATTGCGCAGCAGAAAACTAAGTCTAAATGAAAGATAAAAAATGCAGAGTAAATATTGAAATATTATAGTTAACGTTGGCAACTTATGCGACGATTTACACGGCGTACTAACATAACCATAACAAAGTCAGTGTTCCGGGTTCGATTCTTGGCGCATGCGTGGTGTCAATAAAAAAAAAACCCTTCGAGTAGAGTGAAAGACGACGGTCTTTAGGCTATTTTGACTCTTTTCTTTGAGTGTTTTTTACGTTTTTAAAAAGTATTTAAATTATTTCTATGTTTCATAAATAATCCTAAGTGCTAAATAATATTAATATTAAAGTATTTATTTTGCCTAGATTATCCTAACTCTTATTCTTCGCTGGAGTTCACTGGAGACTGCCGAACTTTCAACGCTCCCGCTATTTTGCACGATTAGATTTTTGCAAGGTGAGTAAATAAGAAAGAAATTAATCCAGAATATGAAATAATTTATTATAAAATACCGATTTGTTATGTCTATTAAAACGCTGTTAATAAATTATTTTTCATTTTTTATCATAATCTAAAGATACAATCAAATATTGACACTAAATGTATAAAAAAAAACAAAGTTTTAAACTAATTACAGTATATTTTGATCATTATTAAATTTTTATCGAAAATTTTCCAATTTTTACACGATTTCAAGCGTATATGATATCACTTTAAAATAATTTTAAATTTAGGATTTTTTGTGAAATCAAATTACAAACTCTTTAGAATTTAAAATCATTTAATTTACATATATATAACAGTCTTTATTTATTACAAAACACGGTGTTACAAAAATAAATTGCATGAGAATTCTTTTTAACAATCTACATATTATATATACATTATTTATAAGTATTTTGTGTGTTCACCCTTTGTTCATTTTCATTTATATGCTTCACATATTATAATCGATTTCTGAGATTGTAGCGATGATTTGTCTCTCTGCTTTCAAGCAGATCCTTATGATAAAAACTCAGTTTTTCTATCGTCACACTGTATTTGGATGATAAAAACAATTTATTGTTATGATCTCAAAAGTCGATTGTAATATATCGCGAGAAATGAAAATGGATTATTAAGTTAACGTTTCTTTTTTTACAAAGAAACAATATATTAAGATGCATCTAAATTGTAAAAAACTTGGAGAATTTCTCTTTCTATCTATGGATCGTATGTTACAATCTTTTTCCGCCATTTGAGTGTATCGATTTTGTCAAACATCGAGTAATTATGAATAGCTCCGTAATTAACTATCACGCTTTGTTTGCGCGGTGCCAGATCCATAAGTACGATCCCACATGATGTAAATATTCAGATCCGACTGAGATACGCTGGGCCGCACGTTGATCAGCGCTTCCTCGAAATCGTAGCTCGTTATATGCCTCACTTCTTCCATCTTTATATCTTCCAGTTGACTGAAAGGAATGCTTCGAATAGGTTCCATGCTCGCTTCCTTACATAAATTCGTCATGTCGGCACCAGAGTATCCCTCCGACTTCTCCGCAATCCTCGCAACATCTTCCTGATTGAGATTGTGTTGCACGGTGGTCAACAAATTGTTTATTATTTGCTTGCGGGCCTCCAACTCAGGTAGAGGAACGTATAATCTCTTGACAAGACGTCTTCTCGCCGCTTCGTCCAATTCTTGAGGCCGATTCGTCGCGCCAACGATCAGGATGCGATCGTCATCAGATGTCGCCGCTCCATCTAGCTGCACCAGGAATTCTGTTTTCAGCCTCCTGGATGCTTCGTGCTCCGTCTCCGAACGCTGCGTCAGCAGCGAGTCTATCTCGTCGATGAAGACGACGGAGGGCTGGTGGACTCTGGCCACCGCAAACAGCGCACGGACCATCTTCTCGCCATCGCCGATCCATTTGGAAGTCAACGAGCTCGCTGAAATGGAGAAGAATGTAGATTTGCTCTGCGAAGCTATGCACTTGCCGATGAGAGTCTTTCCTGTTCCTGGTGGACCGAAAAGTAGAATCCCTTTGGGCGGCCGACGAAGACCTGTAAAAATGTCCGGCCGCAACATGGGGAATACCACCACCTCTTTGACAATCTTCTTGATGTATTCAAGCCCCGCGATGTCGTCCCACATTATCGTTTTACCTGTGTCCATGATCTCGTTTCTAATTAGCTCGATCATGTTCGGATCAATATTTCTCAGTCTTTCGTCCTCTTCCACGTCAGTTTCATTTTGTGGTGCAGCATTGTAATTTTGTGCGGATTTTTCTTTATTTTGTTTTAGTGGACAGACGAATGGAGTGTTGGCCGCTGCTCGGCCACCCAAAGTTTTCTTCGGCGCTGATTTGTTCTTCTTCATTTCTTGGATGTATAATTCGTCTCTGGCACTCTTGAAGCTGTCGAATGTATTCCTTGTTTCTGTATCTTCATTGTTAGACTGTACAGGCTCAGCTGGTCGTAATTTTGGTGCATGTGGATTTATTGTTCTATAGAGACTTTTAGTTGTATCATTTTTATCATTTTTATCATTATTATTATATATTTTATCATTTTTTATCATTGATTTAGGAGGCAGTTTCTGTACAAATTTGTTCAAATTTGGGTAAGAAGATTGCTTACTTGATTGCATTGTTGGTGTGTTTCGTTGGTTGTAACTTACTTGTTTACTAACATTGTTTTTGGGAATACTTGAAAAATAAGTAGATACATTTTGTTCACTATCATTATTTGGCTTTAATAAAACTTCTTTATTTGAAATTTGATTAGAACTCGCAGTTTTAAAATGTTCTAGCTGTGAGGAGATTTTTCTATTTCTCTTCTGCACATCTTTCCTTTTTGCTCTATTTATTATTTTTTCTATGTTTACATCACTGTAAGATCTTCCTTTACAAGGTAGAGTATTGATTTTTTGACAACTCAGAGATTTTACAAAACTCAATGTAGTGTCTGCATCATCTAATTTCGATTTCCATTTCAATGGATCATTTTTTACACTATCAGGCAGTTGAGATTTAACCTGTTTCCAGTAACTGTTTACTCCGTGTTCGTCCCTCAATAGAGAATGATAATCTTCAAGACCCTTTCGAAGGAGTACTGCTGTCATATCCTCTGAATCACTGCACAATATTTCATAAATAAATAAAAATGTTATGTGATAAATTTAATTATAAATCTGTATAACTGAACTTACAATAATCTTGTTGTCATATACTTCGTGGCAAGAGACCTGCGTTCGATGTCTGCAATCTCGAAACAATTTTTATCTTCTTTTGAAAATCTTAGTGTATGATAAACAGACAGAATGTTATCCTTTTCCACTTTTGAATTTTGCACAGTATCTTGTGTACTTGTGCTAGGAGAATTCATATTTGTATTCTGATAAATATTAACTTAAAATATTTATAATTATGCATCTATCTATAATGATGTATCTCAGACATTATGACTAATTAATTTTCTGTATTTAAATTTAACATCTTTTCACGTGACAGTTTGTAGCAATAGTTACTCGTTGTAGCATGAAATATTGTGTATTTAGAGAGCACACGCAAGATACAATCCGATTTGTCACGTGATTCAAATTCGTCTAGGGACATGCTGTCACAAAGCTAATATTTTATTTGTCGCACGAGATTCTGTCGGCTACGTTGATTGACTATTGAATAGAGAATTTCTAGAACCTAAAAGAAATTCTCTATTTGATAGCCAATCCGCATATTTGATAAAACTCATTTTATTGCAAACTTTTGGCGCTTTAGTCATCTGCTAATTCTATGTATAATGTATTTCGAAAGTGATGTTAAAATATTTTTATATCTCATCTCTACGATATTAATTGCGTTTAACTGTTTAAAAAATGGCGAAAAGGTAAAAATTTATCGAGATAATTAAATTAATCATTTTAGCATGGCATTTTAGCTTCTAGTTTTAGTTATTTACGATGATTAAACCAGACTGATTTCACTTGTTCCTATTTTAGGTTAATAAAATTTGTACTTTTACATTTATTCATCACACTTTGAAAATAATATAATTAAAATTTTATATAGTTGTTATTTTATTATTACAATTATACTTAATATATTATTTTTGATTATGAAAATTATAAATAACATAAAATATTCTCTTGAATCGGAAAACAAATACAAAAGGACACGTTTTTGTTCAATTTAACGCTTTAATGTGTTTGAATTAAGATTTAGCATTACAAAAAAGTTTTTGCTTTTTCTTTTTTTTTTTATGTGAAAATACAATATATCGAAACTTGAATTCTTATTATTCTTATCTGAATTTAATTTCTTATTGATTATGTTATATTTTCAATTTTTTTTTAAGCAGAATATCGTCAATTCGCTAACATTTGCGTGTCTAATCTTGGAATAATAATAGATACACAATGCTGTTTAACTCGTATAGTTATCACTTCATAACGATGTCTCTAACTCATGCAGCGCGAGCAACGCAGTTTATCAGGAGAGTATCTGCGATGCGCACCAGTTTCGAAACATTTAATTATTAACTGTATAAACTTTGCAACGTGTCCATTGTATCCGTGCTTATTCCCTACGGCAAAGCTGCATTAACTGCGGTGAACCCGGCTTACACCTCTAACCGGTTTGACTTACATATGACTGCGGAATATCAAAAGTGATGCAACCTAAAAGCATCACAAACGTGAATTATTTTATTAAAATATAATTAAATAATATTTCGTGGAAGATGTAAAAAAATTTGAAATTTAATAAATAAGTTTAAAATAATAAAGCAATATAAAGTATTAAAATCAAGTGGCACGAAATACAAAATAAAATTTGTATCACTTTATTTGATTGCTTATTTGCTATATTTGCTTTTGTGAAAATAAATTTCCTTCAATTCGTCTTTGTTCTATGTATCTTTCACAGGATTTATAAGCTGATGAAGCTGCGCTCTGCATGGCTGGTCACGATACAACAGTCCACCACTTCGTTATACATGTCGTAATAATGACAGGGACGATCACAACTACGGAAACCACCACGGTGGAGTGAGTACATAGTTCTATTGTTCCATTGGGATTACATCCGATCGCCACCGTGACCGCATTTGTGTTGGAGACCGTAAGATTGTCGAGCTACCGGACACGTATAGGGTGCTCCAAATTCGTGTTCTGCTAATTTGAAATTGGCTCTTCTCTACGGAGATACATCTCTTTGAAACTGTGAAAATTAGTTTTCATACCTTTTCAGAATATATTTTCTATTTGCAAAGAAAATTGCTTTGAAAATACTAAAAAATACACTCAGCAAACTAAAGTTCGTTGATTTGAAACACCCTGTGAGAACGTAACAACACCTGATTTGAAAGTAGTAGCAATGCAATTATGGCAAACGACTGCGGTACATAGCGAAATGAGTTTTGCGCACATTCGCATAAGATTAAAACGTGTTCTGCACGTTATACGTGCTTGTCGCGTTGTGTAAAGAGATAATAAGATGTCTTGTTTTTTTTTAATTTCACCTATGTGTTGTCTGCAGAAATTTTCTTCGCTTTGTACAAAAGTCGCTATTACAAATATCCAGTAGATTACAGTGAAATGAGATATTGTGCGATGATAAGATAAAACGCACATATCTCAAATAGTAATTAATTTAACGCTTAACATATAATATTTCTAAAAATGTTTGTTTTTTTAATATATTGTTTAATATGAATATATCAGACACGCAGTGCTTGAGTGCGTACTTCTAAAGTAACAATAATTAGCATCTCTTATTTTTAATGTATAATAAAATGTTCGTTGCAATATTGAGTAACATTAAGGGGTAGAGCAATAAAGCATATTAAATAAGATGATCAAAATTTTCAATTATGCTCTTAATACTGTCGACAATAATTTTAGACGCTAAATGTCTTGATTTATCAAATTCTTAATTTAAAAAGTTAGAAGCAGAAAATTTCATGAATTATTTTTTATAATTTTCTTTTTAAAGGCTCTTGCGAGAAAGACAGATATCATCATTAAATCTTACACATCTTACGTAATTAATTAGTAAAAGCAATTCACATTTTTATTTAATTATTTTTATTATTTATATTTATACTGTTTTTTTTAGAAGGTTGAATATATAAATAATATAGAATGATTTTTATGATTGTCGCAGTATTGCGTTTTTACTTCATAAAATAAATCGCAAAACCCATTTGCAAAATGAGAATAATATTATTAGCGAAGCACGTGACAGAAATAAATAACTAAGTTTACGTAACGCTGAAATGAAAAAAAGAAAAAATTTATCGGAAAAGGAAAGAATCTAATGATTGCATAAGAGTTCTTCTTATGTTCAGTTTCTTATAACTGAACTAATTTGTCGAAGTTAAATTTGTTAGCTTGAAATAGACGTAGAATTTTGTTATAGAATTTCACAGTGTGTATTTGCGTTCACAATGGTAACATGATAAAGTAATAAAGACTTGACATATTGAACAGCAATAGTGTTTCCGACAGTAAGTCTGCAACAAGCTTACGAGAGGAAAAATGACATCTTTCCGCGTTGCAAGCGTTACGAGCATACTTCTAAGGCATAAAATTTGCAAAGCAGATATAAATTTGTTCGATAAATTCTTTAATAATACGCTAAAAATAAACGATTATTGACTGAAATTTTTTTGCAATAAGTGTCACAACACAATTTTAATTTTTAACTCTATATTTCTTAATTCTTTAAAATAATATTTGAATAAATGGAAATATAAAAAGAATAAGATGTAAGATATGAAAAGAAAATAGAAAGAAACATAGAGATACAGAAAACACATAGAAGTATAAAAAAATTAGTTGAGTCAAGTTTTTAAACTTTGAATAATATATTACATTTTTTTAAATGTTAAATTATTAATTTTTGTTTTAGAGAAATAAGAATGAGTAGAATAGTATGGAAAATGTGAAAAATATCGACTAGTTATTTGACTTTGTGTCTTTCTCGGGCAGGCAAATAGGATCGGAAAATAGAAATTAATGGGATTGAGGTAAAATATAGTGGGAGAGTGTAACGTGAATCGTACCATTTGTTCGTCTTTGAAACAAGACCTTGGCGTCGAGCCTAGCGATCAACTCCGATGAAATTTTCTGAAGTTCCATGAATGGACTTTAATAGCCGTGAAACACGCCACGAAAATATAACGTCGACGATTTCTGTGATTAGAAGCGATAATAATTACGTTTCTTGGCTTACTTTTTACTTAATTCTGGAAATTTACTCGAACGATCTGAAATTGGTTTTACTTACTTCACTTATTCAAATTTTAAATTTTGACTCAATTAATATATTATATTTCCATGTGTTTTCTGTATCTCTATGTTTCTTTCTATTTCTTTTCATAGTTTATATCTTATTCTTTTTTATTTCCATTTATTCAAATTTTATTTTAAAGAATTAAGAAATGTAAGTGTTAAAAATTAAAATTGTGTCGTGATACTTATTGCAAAAACATTTTAGTCGATAATTATTTATTCTTAGCATATTATTAAAGAGTTTATCGAATAAATTTATATCTACTTTGCAAATTTTATGCTTTATGCTTTATTTTATGCTTTAGAAGTATGTTCGTGACGCTTGCAACGGAAAGATGTCATTTTTATGTCTGATCAGTTTTATCCCGGGATTTGCCAACCTCTTAATATCTTGTTCGTGTAGCAGACAATCTGTATTTATTGACTATCACATAATAGCCAACTTCAGTTCTAAAAAGATTTATGAGCATTTGGTTGGAGTAATTTTACGAGCCAGCATGCAAGAAAAAACTCATAATAAGTACTTAAGCTAAAAAGAGCGTTGCAAAATAAGTTTGTTCGATAATTTATGATAAAATTTTTTTAAATTGCATTTTGCAAGTAGAAATAAATGCGTTTAATAAATCGCGTCATTGTCCTTAATTATATCTAGGCATTGAAAATTTTTAATTTTTAGTTTCTATCTATTTCTCAACATTAAAAGTTTAAAATCGCTTATCTAATTTAATAATCTGAATCAAGCTTATTAAACTTTCTAACAATTAATTCACCCTGTAGTATCACGCATTTCATTGTACTGATCCTTCTCACTGCTTATTTTGTGCGACCTGTTGATTCGGAAGTATCGAAATGAATAATGAGAGTGTAACAGTTTGCATAAGACCTCATAATTCGTTTTGAAAAATGAGCCTTTTCATGTTGATGATACGCATAATTAACAAAGCTAGAATTTGCACAAGAAACAGTAAAATTAAATGATTTGGAAAATAGAGGCAAAAAATCTAGAATTTGGAAACATATTTTTTTCTTGTAAATTAGGACCTTAACAGATATAATAATGCAAACAAGATATTAATTATTGCTTAAACAAAACTTGTTAAACTCGTCAAAACAAAAGAATCTTTTAATATGCTTACATCTATTGGCAGTTATACAAGATGTTCCAGATCAATAGTATTATCCATTAATAGCAGATAATTTGGAGATTAAGATTATTTGGAGAGGAAAATCTTTATACCAAAATGTCTAAGTTACAATAATTTTTAAAGTGTTTAAAATTAATCAATCAAATTGTCAAACATTCAGGCATGTCGCATATCTTGATTTTACATCTTTATTATATGAGAAACCTCAGAAATCTGCTGTTAACGGTTGATACGGTTAGTTTGTATATTTATCTTGAAATACCTTGTATATTTTATATTATCTTTAAATCTATTATTTTTAACGATATCAAGATAAAACGAATTGGATTGACTTACCGACACAATACACAGCAGCGGAGTTCACAAGTTAATCTGTAACATACAAAGTACATCCAAATTATAGTAGCATTTAAAATAATTATTTGAGAAACAATCGTTACGCACTTTTACTCATCTCTTTTATACACATTTTATAAAAAATTATATATTTATATTTAATAATCATAAAATTGCAAATCTCTTATTTCAATGTTTCTATGTGCGTTACATTATTTTGCAAATAATAAATAAATAAATGATTACTTACCCTAAAGTCGCTCCTCCAGCGTCCGATGTTCTTCCTGAGCCTTTTCCTTCTCTTAGTCCTTTTTGCAGTCCTTCAAGACACTCACACGTGTTCGCGAATACGAGAATTGCACAATGTTTCAAACAGCACTTCTGACGCGTATTTTATTATATTGTACGTTCAACATTCTACCGCGTCTCTAAAAACAATGACGGAAAGGGTTCTAAAAACACGAGAAATAATAAGGAAAGTACTAGTGAAAAGGATAACGCAGATACAGAACGATATTGCTGCCGTGCGAATAATAAGGATGCAATAAACATATCAAAGACAAGATCGCCCCGATTCTAATTTCGGAAAATGCAAGGAGTAGAGTGCGACAATGTGCATACCGATACATAGCGCAAGAGAGAGAAAGAGAGAGAGGGGCGGGGGAAGGGAGGGATATAAATAACGCTGGGATATAAATAAGGGCGACGGAAATAACCTTACCAATGTCCCGAGTCGGTCTCGAAACTGTTAACATTAGGATATTTATCGAATATTTATTTAAATTGGTAGATATTTGATTTGCGGTTATTTTCGTCGCTCTTAGGCTGCATCTATATTCACCCCTTCTCTCTCTCTCTCTCTCTCTCTCTCGTAATAACTTCATATAGCATACATTATACGAAGTTATCG